ATAATCTCCAAGGCATGAGTGAATTCAGCTCCGCAAAGCAAAGTTCCCAAAATAACATACTAAGCTGTCAAACCAGTATGACTGTTCCAAATTCCTTACTAGAGAGTTAAATTTTGTCCTTAAACTGGTAGAATAAAATTAAAAATTGGGATGGAATATAGGAAACCAGTACTTGCATACAAGTTCTGCTACCTCTAACAAAAATAGAATTATCTTCCTGACATGTAAAAAAGAAAAAGATGATCAAATACCAAATCTATTGAGAACCAGGTTATCAAGTCATGTATATTTTGATTTCTCTCCAAATTAGAAGTCTGAAAGCTATTATAGGATAAAATACACGTGTAAATATCAATGTTCTAACCCGCTGAAAGGTCATTCCTATTGTATTTTATTGTTTAAGTCTAGAACAAATGGCAAACTCGTGCAAGGAAAACCTGGTGGGAGATGCCAGCAGTTTTTTGAGATAAAGCCAATGACACGGCCTCAGGAGTAACGTCGCCAACATCAAAAATGTCTGGTAATTTGGAGATGCAGCCAGGATTCACTTTTGAAACTATCAGCTCTAGTAACTATTTTCAATTTCAGTTTTACTACACGCCTTTATATACTTTATATTACTTGGAATGCTGCTGTTCTGCAGAACAGCTATGTAGGTATGAAAATCACTTGTCTCTAGAAGTCTTTGAAAATCTTTTTTTTTATGCAATCATAATTTTTTCTCACCTACGCAACAAAAGTCTTTGAAATGATACGTATCTAGCTTCATTAAAGCTTTTTTTTTGTTGTTGTTGTGTTGTGGAAGTACATTACATGCTCCTAATGTGCTGCAGTGCACTGCGTTTTGTTTAAAATAAGTTTCTGTGATCACCAAAAGGTCTTCTGACAGGTTTAAGAAATACTCTGGAAGAATTTGAAGTGATATTTTCTCCCAGATTACTTATTCCTTTTATTTTCATATCTCATTATGCAGTCTAATCGATAACAATTATTTCTGGAAATTACCCATTGTTGTACAGTTGTGGCAGCATTTAGGATTTACCCCACTTTTCCCCCCCCTTTTTTTTTTTTTTTTTTTTTTTGTTTCCCTTTTGGATGTGCCTGTTTTGATCTGTGTGCCCGTGCTAGAATAGGTGATGGGAGCTACTTGCGTGTAGCTGTGAATTCTGGCGAGCAGAACTTCCATGATGTTGCCTGTAGTACGGTATCACGTATTGTCGATACTTTATCAGAAATAAAGTACAGCGTGGGAAGTATTTCGAAACCGAGCTTGTTTTTGTGAACTGAAGTTTAAAAAGAAATTTAGGAAAGTTCGATCGACGAGAGAGGCAAACCGTGGTAATCTACCGCTTCCAGCCACTTTCTGACTCTACCTTCGCAGTCCCCCACTGCGGCAGCTCCCTGCCAGGATCAGGTAAACTTCTCTGCGGAGGTCACGGATGTGGCTGTGAGTCCTTCCTTCGGAGTGACCACAGGACCCTTCTTCCAGCCCTCAACCCCCGCCTCGAGCGCTCCGTCCCCGCGGTGGTCTCCGCTCTCCTGAGAGCAGTGGGTGGGAAAAATGGGGGAAAATTTATCTGGGTCTCCTGCGTGGTGGACACAGCACGGCTGCTGAGAACTTTTTGCTGCCATGGTGCCTTTCAGTGATAACAATAATGACAACTTTTTCTAGAATTCTTGGGAGTCGGTGTAGTAAACAAATGTTGTTTGACAGGCTCTGTGCTGTGCTTGAACAGTCTCTACTCACTAGCTACCTACTGTGTCATAAGTGGTGAACCTGGCATGTGAGTTCAACACATTGATACGTTTGTTGATGCAAAAACTGAAAGGTGAGATGTCTTTCGTGTAATGCCTTAACTTCCTCCTTTCTCGAACACACACTGTGCTGAAGCTCGTTCTGGTGTGAGCAGAATCTCGTAACAGTAGTTTGGGAGAGGTTTGTTGCACTTACTTTTGCTTTTCGTTCTCATCTAGCATTTTGTCTTTGTGGAAGAGATTTATGAAGCCTTTTTTTTTTTTTCCTCCTTTTTCAGTGGTTACTTGGGGGAAACAGGTAAGCAGCAGGAGGTGTTCTGGAACTGTTTTATTTGCCTCCTTCCAAAGGCCAAGTTGAATTGGTGTCTCAGCATGCAGAGTCTAGCGTGTCATATGTAAAAGATCACTCCTTGTTTAAGTCTGTCACAGTGTTGAAAGAGAATAATGCTTTTGGATGTCTTGCGTTTTGTAGGGTTTGTGAAACTTTTAATTATGCGGTGTAATTCTTTTGAAGAAAAAAGAAATTAAGACCTTTACTTTTTTTACGCTGCTTAAGTAAGGACAGGCAGATGGGGATGACCGATGAGGCCATAACCTGTTATTGTAGAGTTGTATCCATTAGCATTTTCTCAGAAGTATAATTAAAAAATATTAATTTAATTGGAATGCCAAGTGGCATAAAAGCATCAACGGGATTCATCATAGAAGCATGACTTAAATTGGAGACTAGTTAAAACGCAAAATTGGTCAAGGCAGTATTTTTGGTCTTAGTTAGCCTTGTGCATGGCAATTGTATGTCATTTGATATGTAAATTCCTTGGGGATGGGAAGTCCCATCCATCTTTGGAGTTCTTTGCAAGATGGATCTGTAAATAAGTCAGAAATGTAAATAGAAAATACTTTACTGATTGTATGGGAGCTTATTTTTAATACGGTCAATCAAATAATCAAATGTACTCTCAGGCACTTTGATGTGAGATTTACTGGCTCCTTCATGTGGTATCAGTTTAGGTGTTAATGTTTCTCTTTGCAGCTTCTCTTTGCCATACCGGTTCTGCACAGGGCTGAGATTGTGCAGAACTTTAGATCAATACATTCTTCTTTGTGATGTACTGTCAACTAATTGCAGCAAAGCATTTAAACTGCTACTGCCAGTTCTGTTAGTAATCTCATGCCCGTTCCCCCCCCCAGAATTTGAAGACTGGGTTATTTTGAGCTGTTCAAAATTTATGTCAACAAGTAATCCTCATTTTAACTGCATGAATTACGATCCAGAGTCTCCTGGTACTAAAATGGAACTAAACTTTAGTTTGGCAGCTGAAAATGGCTGGCTTAGATGTAACTAATTTTTATTTTTTTTAAGTAGTACTACATATGAAGAGAGAAATGAGGCAAAGTTAAAAAGAGAATTTTTTTCAACATAGCTGATGAAGAGGTTACCACTTCACTTGTCAAGTGTCGTGGCTTGGTAAAATCAGTTAAATAACAGATAATTATAACTTTGTAATGTCAGTTGAATAGAATTTGTTATACCTTAAAAAGAAAACTTCTGTCTTCTAATTAAGATCTCAAACATTAGGAATTCAGATGCTTTCCCGGTACTTACTCTTTTTCATAACAGTTCTTTCATAGCTGATGTTGCTTTAACTTGCACAGAATCAGACTGATTTTGTGACTGTCTTCACTTCTGCATCATCAGTTGCTGAAGCACAGCATCATGTATGTATGTAGTTAATTCATTTGGAATTTCCTTGAAATATAAGATAAAGAATAGGACTCATCTCTTTGCTAACTGTTCGACAGCATACTTTGAAAGAAGAGCCGTAGTGCTTCAACGTCAATTCTGAGGACTTGTTAGTCTGTAATAATACAGATGATTTTGTATTTCCGTTTGTGGCATGGGCAGGTTTTCAGAAGCTCTCTAGTCAAACTGGAGTTGTATCCACCTGGCATTTTTCAAAACAACTTTTTTTCTGGTGCTTCTGTTCCCTTTATGCAAAAAATCATTTTGGTGAAGACCAGAGAGAGGAGAGGTGTGGAGGGGGTGGAGTAGGGAATGAGTTGCAGTGACATTTGAAGAAGGAACTGTCCTCAGGAGTGGGCTGATACGGAGACCTTGATTCAAGAAAGCAGAAGGAATGGTAGGATTTATTTATTTTTGTTTTACACAAGGAGCATGGGAAGGTAATACATTGGAAAGAGTGGTAGTTGCTGGTATGTGCAGAGCATCTTGCCTGTGAAGCAGCCAAGTTTGCAGCCCTTTTGCATCTTCTACTGTTCAGCAGATATAATGAAGTTGGCATTTTTCCCTTTGGATATTTGAATTTATTCTGATATAATCTGTTCTGCTTGTTCTTAACTATTGAATTTTTTTTTTCTTTCTAGTAATGTGGAATTTTTTTGTGCTCAGAGTGACTGCTAATTTTGCTTGTACTCATGTGTGCGTTTTAAATTAGTGGAAGTTAGTACTTCTAAGACAAATGGTGGAGAAGGCACAGAATTTACATCTGCCTTTAAGGTTAAGAATTGAGCTGAAAATGCCTGAATTAATGAGAGCTGGGTACAAAACAAATAACAGGCCTGCAACCTGCTGTCCAGGGGGTGGAGGGACTGGAAGGATGGATATGAGTCTATTTTGGTAAGTGTAAATAGGACTTCCTTCTGAAACTGTCAGTTGTGACCAAGGAGGCTACAGTCTTTTCTCCTTTTTTTTTTTTTTCTCCTTTTTCTTCTCCTTCCTCCCACTTGTGGTAGAACCCAGTACATGTTGATGTTTTATTTAGGTTATGTTTGCCATTGGTTTTGTAAACAGATGTTAAGGTTTAAAAATCTTCCATGTGATTCTTTGACTTCAGTTTGATTTAGCATCTAGTCTCGAGTTGGTGGTTTTTAATGAAGCAGAAAAAGTCCAATACTGGGGAGTTCACAGACATTAAGAAACTTTTCTAAGTTATGTTGTTCTGCTATGTTGTAGATATTCAGGAGGTAGCTTTCCTGAGCTAAAGAAAATTGTCAGAATCATGGTTTACGTGATGCTGGAAAGAAAAATAAACTTGAGTGGTCTGTTTTGTTTTCAGTAGATGAGAACTATTATGATCAAGTCTTTTAGTAGCTTTGAAGCTGCACATACTTTTGTAGGTCCATTTGTTTAAAAACCATGCAGCTCTTGGTGCATAGTCAGTTGATTCTCTGGGAAGAAAACTGACTGTCATAAATTTCATGAACGTGGGTAATTCTAGCAAAAATAATAGGAAATTTGCTTTGTGAAAGTGATTGTCGGTTTATGAGAGAATCCTGTTTCTTGTGGCTGTAAAGTCTCTAAGTGCATTGTGTAAGCGTCGACTTGTATGTCTTTCAGGCTAATGGGCTTGAAAGTATTTCTTCTGTCTCCATTCATCTTCCAGTATCTAAGCAGGGATTCAGTACAGACAGCTGGCATATTTATTAGTTGCTGCTATCTGAATTACATCCCTGAAACAGATTCAGTCTACGGGTCTGAGCCTTAAGTCTTCTGCAGTTTCAAGGAGCCTTAGGTATAAACTTGTTATCATGCTAGGCTTTTTTTTTTTTTAGTCCACACTACTGTGATAAGTCAGGAGTACTTTGTACTAGGTGTCTTAACAATGTCTGATTGTCGCTTATGCAGTCTGTCAGATGGGCCTGTGGGTTTAGGTTTTGGCTACAAAAGCTTCCCCTTAGTGTGTGCTTGTTGAGAAGTTAATTTTTATCTTGCTGAACGGTTGGGATGGTCTGCTCAACTATTTACATTTTTTTGACCTCCTCGTTACTGTTTGGCTTGGCAGGGATAAAAAATAATTGTCACTTGATGGCTTTTAAATGGTTTATTTAAAGAAAGTTGTTCAGTGTTGTCTCTAGCAGAAAGTTATTCCCACCTCCCAAAAGCAGAAGGTTTTCTGTTTTAGAGCTGTTTCAGCGTAACTTCCTAGCAGCTCAGAGTACCTTGCAGTGACTAACTTGGGGTTGTTGAAGATGTGTCATGAACAGATTACTAATCATAAGGTTAAAAAATGTTGTTTGTTTTTTTTTTAAAAAAACAAAGAACCGATATCACTCCTTCTCCAGAAGGAGTTTAAATTTATTTCTCCAGTGATACTTGATACTAGTTCTTTGCACTGTGCTAAGCAACAACATAGGCAGTAGTGGTTTTTGTGTGCTGTGGTAATCCCATTTTTGCTTCTTTCTCCCCCAGATTGTTTTGATACTTTGTTTAGCCAGTATTTTAAGAAGAGCTGGATAAAATGAGTGTAGCTTGTATGCCTTACTTGAGCTAGAACTAGTCTTAAATATAGCCTGATTGCAAATGCATATACCAGAGCCGGTCTTTAAGTGTGTCTGAAAGTGGCTCGCCATTAATTAGGAGGAAACTACACAGTAGTTGATGTTGAGTGTGTGTTTCCTCGTTGCATTTAGAGGCAGGTGTTTTTTCTCAGCCAAATGGTGACTATGTCTGTATGTAGCCATGATCTGATCTATTGTCAGCTAGTACTGAGGAGGTCCAGAGGATAATTGCTAGAACTGAATGTCAAACATACAAGTCTTAATACAATGTTCCTTGGCTGTTGGGCAGGTTTAAGTGTGTTAAAGTTTTGATGTTTGACTCCACAGTGTGTTTTTATTCAGAGCATGACATCTGGTTTG